ACACGAACAGACGTCATTACTCAGTAGGTTTATTTGATTATATATATAAGTATGTATGTAGGTTCTTATTCTTAGATATTCTGGTACAAACTATGACGTCTAAACTTGTGACGTTGATGTTACAAGTCGATATGAAATGTTAAATGTTCATCTTAATTACAATTTTCAAAGCAAAATTGTTCTGAAAATAGTCTCTACGGTGATTATGACGATATAATATTTTTAAAGTAATACTTAGAAATGTAAGACGTCAGAGTTGAATGGTATTTGAAATAAATTATAAGTTTAGTGTCGTCAGAACCCATTTTTAAATTGGAAGTACTTCATGGCAACATAATAGTGACGTCTATCGAATATCTTTTCCTTTGTGTAACGAATTAGAATTACTTTTATGCCAGATTTGGGAAATTGTAGGTTTTTTTAATAACTTCTGATTATAACATAACATCACGCCTTTTTATCCCCCCGAAGGGGTAGGCAGAGGTGCACATTTCGACACTTAATGCCACAATGTAACATCCACTTTTCACTATTTATTTTATGAGTCCCATGTAATAAGGGGTGAGCCTATTGCCATATACCGGGCACATTTCCAGGCTCCGTGCTACTACTGAGATTTTTTAAAAACCCAGTAGTACTTTGCCCGACCCGAGAATCGGACCCGAAACCCCTTGCCCGGCAGTCGCACTTGCGACTACTCGGCCAACGAGGCAGTAACTTCTGATTAAATCCTCTTTATTCGTATGTCAATCTATTACTCAAGTGGTCTTTTTCTTAAAGCTGTGTTTCGTTCTTGTGACTCATCTGATGTTAAGGTACTGTTACATAAGATAATTGCAAGCACGAAATCGTGTTTCAATAGAGCACGTTATCACTTAGTAGCATGTGTGTTGGAATTTCGGAATGTTGCTCAAAATTAGCGTATCTATTTCAAGTATATTTAAGAATCGGCTGGCGTTCGTTTTTTTTTCACTTTTGTAAGCATGTTCAGTAGAACGATTTTTAGCATACTGTTTTAGAACAGTACGTTTAGTATCTATACTTAAAGGTGTCGCGGAGAACCTAACGGGTTTCCAGGACCCCGGCTCGATGTGCAGGAGAAGGAACGGGGTGGTTTTTAGTCAGTAAGAGTCTGACACTCCCTCCCGCCTCACCTAAGCGGGAGTAGTCATTCGATGATTTTCCCCCTTTAAAAAATACCTAAAATACCTAAAGGTATTTTTATGGGTGGTACCGATCATTTACTATCAAGTAATCTGTCTGCATTGATCTTCTATAACATAAAAAGTTAGTAAAAACTTTATAGTATATATTATTATGTATAATAAAAGCCTACTGTTGCACAAAACAGTGACAACAACATTACAGTCTAATTTCAACCAACAAGTCGATATTAAGTACTATTAATTATATTTGTTCATTGAATAATTTTATGTCAGTAACGTGTGAAAACTGAAGAACTACATCGAGTAATACCAATTACAAAAGTAAAACCAATTTATCAAGGTCTCGTTTTGATTGACGTCTCCACACTTTCAACGGTCAGTTTATACTGGTTCTGTATAATTTGATGAGTGCGATTCGTGCATCAGTGAAAACCTGTTAGTAGAATCGAACATTGTAAAGTTGGAGCTGTTTATGCGAATTTAGTTGCTATTGTTTAATTTTCATTATTATGTGCAGTTTAATTTAGAATGATGGTGTTGAATGGTTTTAAACAACTTGTTAAGTAGTTGTAATGTATTTTGGGTTAGGTGTCATGTTGGTTTATTTATTTTATTTATCACTAGCTTCTGTCAGCGACTTCGCCCGATATTCCAGACTATCTAGAAAATACTCTGTTCCAAATTTCATCGCGATCCCTTCAGTCTGCCGGTAACTGAGTATACCAGAAATTTATATTTGTGTTTGGTACAGTAGCTATGTCTAGGGATCGAGTCGCACGATTAAGTTTGTTTTTGTGTATATACTTTTTCGAGATAAAAAATGCTTAAAAGATACCTAGTTTTATTGTAATTAGACCGGTAGATTTAGCATGATGCGTGAACGTATAGACAGATATTACTATTTATTATTTTCAAGAATTAACACTTCTACAGTTTTAATATAATTATTTCTTTTTATTGTGTTCTGGCTTCGCATTAACCGCTTCATTTCTCTGCACTTCCCTATGGTTGACTGTCAGAGAATGCCTTAAGGCATTAAGTTCGCCATTCACTGTCATCTTTGGTGAAGAAGTAATAAATAAATAAATATATGTATATATTTCATGTATATACACCATCCAGCAGACAATATTACAGAGAACAGCACATTACAAGCATATGGTATGTACAAAGTTATATATATTCCTTAAGGAATTAATTCTCCAGACCTGGGACAGGAAAAGGAATATAGACATCACACCAAGTGTAACGGTTACATGCAATGAAGATCGTTTATTGTTTAGTATCATGATAATCAAATATTGGGTTCATTAAAAGGTTTATTTATTCTGTGATCTCAAAATTTATTTTCAAATTGACTCAGAAGTTACCAAATTGATAAGAAAGACACGGTAATGTCAAAAAAGGCAAACGTCAATATCATTTACTTCAATTAGACCAGGAAGGCACTTTTGAACGTCAACAAAAAATTAAAAGTCAAGCTATTTGCTCATTCCAAGGTGTAGATTCCTATGGAGAAGAACGAGTAATAAAGTCTATAACCTATGGGTTACTTTTTTCAATCAGGTTCACAATACAATTCTCTAGTTACATAGTTTTATTGTTACCATATAATGCATGGTTTCTTTTAACTTATACCTATTAATTTCTACATAACATATAATCACGCCTTTTATCCCCAAAGGGGTAGACAAAGGTGCACACGAAAGAAATACCCCCTTTTCACTATTCATATTATAAGTCCTATGGAATAGGGGCTGGGCCTATTGCCATATACCGGGTACATTTCCAGACTCCGTGCTACTACTGAGATTTAAAAAAAAACCAGTAATACTTTGCCCGACGCGAGAATAGAACCCGATACAAAAACTAACATAAATATTCTTACCATTGAAAAAAAACGAATTTACAATGTATTATTCCATCTGTGTTTTCCTCTTTGGACACTAAAAGGCATAAAATTAAGTTGTACACGTGTATTGAATTTGATATTTGAACACAAACGAAGGAAAACCACAGTGTGAGGTTAACTTATCAAGGGAAATACTTATATATACGTAGGGAAACATTATAAATATGTCTGGCTAAGCCGGCATCTCCGTTCATTTTCCACTTTGAATTAAGAACAAGGCCGTGACACAGAGTTACGAAAGTTACAAACTTACCTCAGAACCTGGCCCTTTGTTTGCAAAAGATTTAGCTGACTAGATAAGTAGTGCGATGTCTGAACACGCGAATTTGTATTTTAATGTGTAGGAACTTTAGGAACAAAATAGCATATATTACGATTTTTGCATCTTTTCATTATGCACATAAAATTGTTTTACGTACAATCTTATCACTTTTTCATTACAGAGACTGTCAGAGAGTTACAAAATAATTACTAATGTAATAAATACCACGATAATCTTAACAAAAAACAAAGATCTCATCATCAAAGGACCAATTTTTGGAAAGTAGGACCAAAACGATTTACTGGGTTTGTAAATTTCAAGTTACTCCTTAGCACTCGTAAACCTCGTAGATCAAGATAACTTTGAATTCCCTCATCATAAAAAAATGTCATTAACATTAAAACAGTTAATTTTTAATCAGTCTAAAAAAACACAATCAGATAACGTAGCTCTATGCTTAAAAACACAAGTCTACCCGACGATTCTTACCAAAATTCACCTCCGTACCTATCTAGTATTTTAGGTAGGCACCGAGCCATGTAATGAGAGCAACACGTTTCCTTTACCAACCAATTTGTTCCGCCACCTGTGCCCGGGTATCCCATACATGTCGTGCTTAATCTTAAGATTAAACTGTAAGATGTAAACAAAGTCATGTTCACACAAACGCTTTGAGCTTCGACAGGGAAGCTTCTCTTGTGGTGGTGTGTAGTTAAAGTCGGTGATTAAGTAATTTGTGTTGTTGTTTTAAGGTGGTTTATGGTTTGAGTAATTTAAAAGTACTGACAAAATGTAAGCGTCTATTATGTTTTTAAAACTTCGTATGTAGTTATTTGAATGTATTTTAGTCAGTTCCCGTGGATTAAAAACTAGCCCATGTGTTACTACAACAAAACTATGTAACTAGAGAATTGTATTGTGAACCTGATTGAAAAAAGTAACCTACGGAGTTTCTCGCTCGTTCCTCTCCATAGGAATCTACACCTTGGAATGAGCAAATAGCTTCACTTTTAATTTTTTGTTGACGTTCAAAAGTGCCTTTCTGGTCTAATTGAAATAAATGATTTTAACTTTGACTACTCCAGACAATAATCTACCCCTGTTCTAAATTTCATCCCGAATCCTTCAGCCGTTTTGACGTGAAGAAGTAAACAACAAACATACAAACTTAAGCAATTATAATGTTAAAATTAATACATAGGTTACTATCGAATTAGAAGAGTACTAATCACCAAATTGTTTGAGATTATTTCATATTTCTTCTTGACGTACAGATATATTACCTAATGTTAACTAGGACTGCCCCGTTGGCCGAATAGTCGCAAGTGCGACTGCCAGGCAAGGGGTCTCGGGTTCGATTCCCGGGTTGGGCAAAGTATTACTGGGTTTTGAAAAAATCTCAATAGTAGCACGGAGTCTGGAAATGTGCCCGGTATATGGCAATAGGCTCACATATAACATAAATAGTGAAAAGTGGGTGTTACATTGTAAAATGGCATTAAGTGCCGAAATGTGCACCTCTGCCTATCCCTTCGGGGATAGAAAGGTGTGATGTTATGTTATGTTATTTTATGCTTAACTAGGTACGTTTACTACAGTCAGTCCGTGGATGTTCATCTTTAAAATCTATAATTAAAACTGTTATATTCAAAACTCCTACCTTTATCAAAATCCCTGGACTGAGGTTTCTTCAGCAGCACAGGTTCGTGGTCCTCTCTTCTCCACGTAATCTTTGGAGGTGGGTGACCAGTTGCCTTGCAGGTCAACGTCGCGTTCTCCAATTCTTGGACTGACACGTCTCCTGAAGTCTCATCACTCATGATGTCTGGAGGTACTGTGGGCAAAATATTTTTGAGGTTATTTAAAAGATTTTAGCAATATAACACCTTGCTTAAAGATTATAACTGCGCCAAGCAAGGGATTTCAAGTTAGCTTTTAGGTTTCGGCGCTTTCTTTTTTTAAATATCCTTAGTAATAACTAAAAATCGGTAACCGTCTCTGGTGTACGACCATAAGCACCACAAGACACCATAACATAACTGCCAGAATTTGGACATAGAAAGCTAAGTTCTTAGACAGGGGTTACTCACGCAAATGTACTGAGATAAGGTCTACTACTTTCGGGTCACAGAGGGACTCTTCCTCATGAGCAGCATGTGCGGTCGTGGTGACGACGTGGTGTTAGACGTCGCGACGACGGACGGCGTGCAGCCTATTAACCGACTGATGCGACCGCGCACGCTCATTTGTAAGAGTCCCTCTGTGACTCGAAACTGGTAGAGCTTTTCTCAATTCATTTGCGTGAGGAACCCGTCATTTTTAATTAATTTAGTTAATAAACCTTGTTAAGTAAAGCTTCTTAAAGTAGATCTTTGGATGAATACAAAATCTACGTGCCTAATAGGACAGCTATAAAGCCCTCAATACTATCATATGTAATATCAGTTTCTAAAGATAGGAAGTAAAATTTGACTAACGTCTTAAACAAGTCCTGAATAAGTGTGCAGCTGAACTGTGGTTGAAAACTGTAGTTATTCTACCAAATGTTGTTAGAATACAATACTAAGTCTAGTTGGAAAAATGTCCAGAAGAAAGATTGTCCTGAATAATGTATCGTATACTACGTAACAGTACAGGTAACTGTATAATTTATTCGGGACATATCTCGTTTTTACTGCCTCGTTAATCTAGTGGTCGACTGCTGAACAAGGTACCTATTTGGCAAGAATGTGTTGGGTTTTCGTTTTCTAATGTTTGTAGTTGTTTTGTCTATATTTGTACACGTTTTGTTTTAACTCATCATTATTTTCAATGAGTATTACCTGCAAGAAGAATGGGAGTGAAGTTAAAAACTGTTTTTTTTTTCAAATAACCAAAAGTGTTTTATTGATGTTAAAGACCGCCACCAACTCCCCTATCTGCCACGCGAACCTCTAAGTTGGGCATTTATACTTAGAAACAGTATCGTACCACCTTCAGAACTAAACATAAATAATGTACGTTATTACCTAAAACAAAAACTGGACCTATAAAAACGTACGCTCGATCCACCACAAGAGGCTGGCAATTTTTAACGCGAAAACTTTTTGTGCCACTGCCGGGGGTAAAACCACGTCTGAAGGGTGAAAAAAAGGTGAGGAGGGGGTTAAAAAAAGGTGAATTTTCACAATATTGTTGTGATTTATCGTGGTGTGAGCGTTCTAGAAACTTTCGGCACTTCTACCGTTTTCGTTCGACGCCGACGATTTGCATTTAACCGAGACTAAAAGTTGGTCTTTTTTTGTATCGAGTCTTTGTAAATGTCGTAAATTCTTTGCTATGGCTGCTGTTAGGTTTAATAAAATGATTGCTTGTTTTTTATTTAGATCAACTTGGAGACTTTTGAACAAGACTTCTACTGAAAATTATTGATGTTTTAAAGAATATCTGCCATTGTTTAACAAACCTATACAGCCAGTCCATTTCACTCAATACAACACAATTAAAAATAACTGGACCTACTAACGAAACCGAATAAATAATTCGATTAATTTCCGTACCAAAATTATCACGAATAATTCATAGCCACCATTAATTAGTTTTTTAATAAAAACCGCTTCTTTTTCTAATTATGAAAAAGGTGAAAAAGAAACTTCGACCAATATATTTTTAATTAATCAATCTGACCTGATTCTTGGTAGCGTGACTAAATAAGGATATTCTGCACGCCTTAGTAATTTATATGCCAGTTACTAATGGACATAATATATCAGAAATTTAAAAAGGCTTGAAACTTGGAGGTTTATTGTATCGAGACGAAAGCTTGTTATGTGCTGAACATTTTAATTTTAAAGTGTTTAAGAATTTAACGACACTTGTGTATATGGATAAGTCATATGGCTAAGCAAATGACTAATAAAAACCCATAAACTGGAGAGACTCGGGAGAAGAGGCGAGTATGTGATAATAGGTTTGCTCTTCTGTTAAACCTTCCTCCTTGCCTTCAAATTAACTTTGTTTAGACAGGCTTAAACTTACTTCTTTAATAATAATTTTAATTCAGCAGCTGTAGCGTAGCCAAATGTTATTTAGCGCCTGTCTACATGTAGAATAGAAAACCAAATTATATCGAACCGACGTAAATTTTGACACGTGTCAGTCTCATCCCCATACATTTAGTTTTCTACTCTCTTAGTGGACAAGCGCTAAAGTGGCGCTTGGCTAAATGCACAGGTTCTATAGACATTTGTTCAGTTACTGATATTACATTGATGTCCCAATAGGGTATGAATCTTTTATTTCGACATCACTGACATATTTTTTTAATAATTTAGAATAGTTAAGGACATCTTTTCTTTTACCACTTACAAAGTACTATGCAGTAAATATGTGCCCTTTGCAATAAACTGTAACATTACACACATAAAGTTCGTTTTAAAGTAAAATAATCGATTGTACAGTTATTTCCGTAACTGTCGTGTTGCAGTGGCCGGTCAATAGTATGTTTACGTATTCTGCACTATTTTTAAACCCTCACATTTATATTGTAGGACGACGGAAACGACTCATATGAAACAAAAGGCTTTGTGGATTTATTTTTTAAAACGTTTTCATTTCTTTTTTTATTTAATCCACGACGTTGATCTTAGTATATAAACATGATTTTTATGAAAAATTATTAGTGTTGTTATGTGTTAACCAATCGTCATTCCTAATACTATTTTAATTTTTATACATTACCTACACACAACATAACATCACGCCTTTTATCCCCGAAGGGCTACCCCTTAAAAAAATCTCAGTTGTAGCATGGAGTTTGGAATTGTGCCCGATATATGGCAATGGGCTCACCCCCAATTACATGGGACTCATAACACAAATAGTGAAAAGTGGGTGTTACATTGTACAGTGGTATAATGTGCACCTCTGCTTATCCCTTCGGGGATAAAAAGCGTGATGTTATGTTATATTATGTACGTCTATTTAATTTCACAACATAAATATGATATGTTGTGAATTTAAACCTATCTAATATTTACGCGATATCAATTTGAAGACTAAAACAAAATTGTATCGGATAACGTATTTTCTCTCAAATGTAACCAACGACAGATTTCCCTATAGTAAACTGTCGTTTAAAATTTTAACGTGTCTCTAAAAATGTACTGAAATGTGAAGGGGTTATAGGGAACATGCATTTGCAACCGCCAATCAAAACCTGACAGGGACGATCAACGTTTGATCAATGATCCGTGGTTTAAAATTTTGTGTCACTCAGCAGTATGGTGGCTAGGATTTATTTTTATATAGGACTCATTTTTAGGTAAATATAAGGCTCTGTAAAAAAAAGTGTCAGTACAAAAAAATATCCATCGGAATTATTTGGACTGTTTTCTTTTCACTTTAAAAAGGAAAAAGCTGGGATATTTTTCAACAGCTAATCTTTTTGTTTTATATAGAAAGTCGATTAATTTTTAGCATCTTTAAATGTGTTCTCAGAAAGGTCAAACAGGTCAGAAAGTCATATTTTAAACTGTTGGTTTGTATAAAGGACCAATGACAGAAGTTCTATAATGGCCAATTTAGTATTTGAGGTCCTTCCTAATTCAATCCTAGTTGGGAAACCATTAAGGGATATAGGGTACAGTATTCCCAGTTTGAGGATTTGTCGAAATGGTGCTGATGGAATTTTCCTTTGTTTAATTTCATTAGGAATGCAATAAATTAACACAGCCTTTTTAATGAAACCCGCATAGTGGCATACTTTGACCCTTATAATTTAGGTTTAATTTCACTATCAGGTGACCTCGAATCCCCAAAGGCTTAGCATAATTTATTAGTCTTTTAGGAAACACTATTATGCATAGACTGATAATATTTGTGTTAACCCAGTTTTGATGTGGTTAAGTCTAACTTGTAAATTATGACAAATAAACTTATAAATGAATTACATATTAAAAAACCACAACGTTCTAAAATAATTAAAATACATTATATACTACCGAAAGCCGACTGGTGCATGAAGCAAAATACTTCAATGAAAAGTTCCTAAAATGTGAATGAAATAGGCTTCAAAAGATAATGACCAATTACCCAAAGCGGATATTTCCTAATTAGCATAACTATAATCACATTACAAACATCGAAATCTCCCTTGATTAATTTAGTGGTATAACCTGTCCTAATCCCAAGCTTAAACTATGGAAACCCTTCTCCCGCTACTCCCAAATTCGGTGCCCTGAGTGCAAAAACTGGTCGATCAATCATTACGGATTTAACTGTATAGACTGTGGAATTAAACCTTCATTGACACTCGACACGACGGGACAATCTTTTAACTATAATTTATTTTAAAAAATCCAACCATTTTAGATACATTTGAAAGTTTAATCGAGTTACAATATTCATTGTTTCTGCAATATGTCACGTATGAAACGTTGTAAGTGTTGTACCGTGAGGAGAGCCTTGTTTTAAAACGCGATTAAAATTGGACTGAATGTTTATGTGTGACTGAGTCGGCTTTTATTTGGAAAAAATATGTCAATTGGTTTTTGTTTGATTGAATAATGAATAACAAAGTCTGCTGCGTAAAACTGGTTGGTATATTTGAATAGCTGGCTTGATAGATTGTTCCTATTCCACAAATAAATCTAATTTAGAAGATTTTATAAGATTACTGAATCAGTTTATGTCTTGACTGTAAAATAGAATCATCAAAGTAATATCATAAAACTATGCTTTGCCACTTTTGGTCCTTATGGCAACAAAAAGGACCAACATACATTTAACAGTAACAAAACGAAAAACATTAAAAATAAAACAGCAGTACAAAAAACTAATCGAAAGGCTTGAAGT